TTTTTTTCCTGTTGGTGCTGCATTTGGGGGGGGGTTAAATTATTTCACCAAATAATTAAAAAAAAATTAAATATTTCACCAAATAATTAAAAAAATATATTTCACCAAATAATTAAAAAAATATATTTCACCAAATAATTAAAAAAATATATTTAAACAATTCCAAACAACCTGCTGGAATTTGCAATACTGTGAGAAGTACTGCTTTAAAACTGAATAAACTTTCTCCTACACAGTTTTTTCAACAAAAATTTCCCTAACCTTAATGTTATCTCTTTCCTACATAATTATCTCCATTTGAACAGTACTTTCAAAGATCCCCAACCTTTTTCACAAACATCTCTGACCCCTCCCCACCAAAAAAAAAAAAATACTATGGGGTAAATGTTTGCACAAAGAAACATAGCATCCATTTTATGTAGGTAGCTGATTCTGTTTTGGTGGGATTCCATGGCAGATCTTTTTATGAAACTGTAAGTATCCTGTTACCTACTTTTCTGTGTTGAAATCTTCCCATCTGGACAGAGAACACACTCAAAACAGCAAAATTTTTCCCCTTCCTTTTTTTTCTTCTGATAACTAGGGAAGCAATCACTGTTACAGGCAGACACTGGTGTCATCTATCCATAAAATTGAGAATAGTTCAGAATTGGAGAAATTAGAAATGTATTCCTCTATTTTACTATCAATCAATCACCTTTATTGCTTATGAGGAATTGTTCAAATGTCTTGGAGGAATTCAGATCAACATCTCAGTGACTACAATCTGCTGAAATTTGTCCTACCTTTATTTTTGTCTTATTTTATTTACATGAAGGGGAGTTGAGAATGGGAGAAAAATAAGTAAGTATAGCCTATGAGCTTTTGTCATAGATCCCCAGACTAGCAATGGGATGGGAATGTCCATACAAGAGAATTTTTTCCCCCTAGTTTCTCCCAAATGCTACCAAATATTTTGAATTCTCTCATTTATACAGTTAATGTGAAATCATTTTCAAATAAATGAAGAGGAGATATTTGTTACTCTTAATGCTGCATTTTGGAGGGGTTCATTGTATGCAACAGGTGCAATTAGTTTTATTGACCCAACTCAGCTCAGCTCAGTGATATATATGGACATATCCATGCAGTTCTCTTGGTATGAAATAGAACTTGTTTGTCTGCTTTTTTCTGAGACATCTTAAAAAACAACAACAACAACTTCCTAGTATAGGCTATAGCCTTGTATTTCCCACATGGTCCCCCATCCATGTACAAATCAGGACTTACTCTGCTTAACTTTCTGGATTAGCCAAGACTGGCCATGTACTGGTATCTGTTAAAGCATTTTACTTTCCAACCAGACCTTAAATGACCAGGTCATGTCATGAAGAAAACTAAGTTCACAGACCCCCAAATCACCAATTTGAACAATGATTTTTTCTCTTTCTTAAGAGAAAAAAAAGTAAAAATACTGCGGACTCCATACCTGTTTAAAATCAGTGTGCCACACAATTATATCCTCGTTGATGATAAATTCTTTTCCTTCAAGAACATCCTGGTCCACCCTTCCAACTTTCACTCTTTGGAAAGAGGTGTTTGGAAAAGTGATCATATTCATGATGTCAAATCCACTGCCTACTATTTCCCTCTGATTATTAAAGGAAACTGTTTCTCCAACTGAGTTATTAAATGAAATTTCTTGAAGAAATTGATTGAACTATAAACAAGAGCAAGAGCAGAGCAAGAAAATGGAATTCGTGGATATGCAGATTTTTTTTTTAAAAAAAGTTTTCCTGGGTTACTTTTTAAATTCAGTTTCCCCAACAAAAGCCTAATCTGAAAATGCATATTGTCATTCCTACCTCCTTCCCAGTGGAAAATGCCTGAATAGGTTTAGGTTCCTTTCTCAAGAACCAACTGTAAAACAAAAATTGATCTCACCACCCATGTCACTACTTGGCAAATGGTCTCAGACTCTCTCCTTTAACTTGCTCCCTGGAGGATATTTTCTCTTTTCTACTCATTTCTCCTTCCATGAGATAGAACACTCAAAGATGCATGCTTTCTGTCACCTCTACATTTTCTCTATAGTCATTGGCAATGCTTCTAATTGGCTTTTCAGGGTTTAAGCCCGGACTTATTCCTTGCTTACTCAGAGATAGCTGCGATTTACTTCACAGTGCTATTTAATCAGCACAAGCAAATACAGTTATAAAGATCAATGCAAAGTTACTATGAATGGTCTTGTATCAATAACAGCATTTTAATACTTAGCGGTAATATCTAAATTAGACCCACCAAGCCAGGTGGCAAACACACATTAGGAAACTTAGGGTCCCTGGCTCCTTTATAGAACTTGTAATGCAATATACGTTTTATAGATTTTGTATATTTAGACTTACATAGACAGAATATTTGGGCTGATGTAAAGCTTAATAGCAGCCTTCTAGTACCATGGTGGGCATGGCAATAAATCTTGCTAATGCTGTTTTATATTACTACTGTATATTGTAAAGAAGCTCAGATAACAAGCCATACTATTTCTAAAATGTGAAAAACTCTAACCAAAGAATGATTGCAATGGCATTACCTTCCATGGTTGGACATCTTGATGTTCAAGCTTTTTGCCTCCTGCCACTGCTTTGAATTTTGATCTCAGTTGGTTGATGTCATGCGAAGCATGTGCTATAGCATAGACTGCATTATAGATGTTGTAACTGTGCCCAGTCATGTGTATTTCAAAAAGAGTTCCAGGAAGGTCCTTCAGCATTTTGTCCCCAGTGCACGTGTCATTGTTCCTTATTGTATTTTGGGGATCTACAAACATACAGTTAAACGCTTGCTCCCAAAAGTCCTTGAGAAATCCGTCTCCTTGATTCCAGCCAGGTTTTATGGTTTGAACAAATTTCTGGAAATTTTCAATCACATTTGAGTGAATAGTGAAAGAAAAGGCACCTTGGAAGAGTTGGAAATCCCAGCCATTCTGGAGACCAGTTAATGTAAAATCAAGCTGGGCAGTCATAATCCATACTTTACCAAATGATGCGTTTTCTTTATATCCAGGGAAACCTAAGAACACATATGTATTCAGCCACAGAATGGTCAAAGGTTCCCCATAGATGACAAAAACATTACCTTTGCTCTCCGTAAAAACTTGGTAAATATTTGAGACAACACTATTCACCCCATCAAGATTATATGCGTTGTGCTGGTTAGGGATTTTTTCTACAAAGGCTGAACAGATTCCATTCTTAGAAAACAGCTGATCCAAGGAGTGCAAGAAACGGTCCCCGCTCTCATCATCTGCAGCAAAAAGCCCAATCCATGTCCATCCAAAATACTTAAGCAAGCTGATAATCCCCATGTACTGAAGGATTTCATTTGGGACCATACGGTAAAAGAAAGCAAACTGGGTTTGTTCGCTTTCTGCTGGGGCAAATGAGCCGTACGTGAGCTAGAACAAAGTTTTTGAATGAAGTTTCATGAATATTCAGTGAAAGAATTTGGCTTTCCAAGAATAAAACAGAGGGGTTGGTTCACATATAATGCTAAACCATAACTTTTTAACTATGCTTAATGAACTATTTGGTTAACACAATGTGCTAAACCATTAGTCTATAAATCACAATGGTTCAGTCACTAAATCAGAATGGCTTGGTGAAGTCCAAATCCAGCCAAAATCTATTGATTCAATATTCTTCAAAAAATGACAATGATTTTTTGGCAATATTATGGAAGTATAGTTTCCTAAAAATCACAATATGCTATGTTCATCTTCACTATATGAAATATGTGACCTATCTTATATTTTATTGTATGAAATATCTGACTCCCATTTAGGGGGTGGAGAAGAGAAATTATACTTCTCCCAGCACTGGCTACTTTGCTCTAATCCCTTCCATACTACTGCTATAGCTTTCCTATGGAAGGATCATTTTGTGAATACTCTTATTCATCCAAGTTCTCATCACACCTGTGGAATTTTCCATAGGCTGAGAATGTCTGCCATGCGAAAGGAGACCTCAGCGCCAAGTCCCCCAATGATGGCCATGAGATTTTTCTGGGTGTCACATTTGTAGTTAGGGACGAATCTCTGTGATTTGAAGAGCAGGTCCAGAGTGGTCCGATAGGTCATCCTTGCATCATAGTAACTATCATAGATGTGGAACCCGAGAGTGATGTTAGGTAAGATCTGGGGATTTTCATTGATCTCATTGACAGCAAACACCAAAGCCAAGCCATGCTGGTAGAATTTTGTCACCACACTGCAAAGAAAATTGTGCATTTATTGCAGCTAATTGGTTTAGGACAATTCTGCTCTTAGGTACCCAAATCTACATGCATCACAATTATAAACCCTAAAATACAAACAGAGCCAGTTTGATGTGTGGTTAAGATACCAGGCTAGAAACTGGGAGACTGAGTTTTAGTCCTGCCTTAGGCACAAAATCAGCTGGGTGACCTTGGGCCAGTCCCTCTTTCTCAGCCCTAGGAAGATGACAAAGGCAACCACTTCCAAAAAACTACAGGGACTAGTCCAAGCAGTCACTATTAGTCAACACTGACTTGAAGGTAATAATAATAATAATAACAACAACAACAACAACTTACATCCTGTGACAATACCTTTAACACCATCAAACAACAACATCTGCCTATCCCAGGTCCTTGGGAAGGACTCGATAGGTGGATAAAAATGCCAAATCCAGTCTAAACATCTGGCTGATTGTGTGACCAACAATAATGATGTCATATCCTTATATTAGTTACTTGTGCAGCAGGTGAAAAGGTAAAATAGTACCTATGATGCAATATTATGACTTTGAACCTTATTATGAACTCTGCAGTGCATTCTGACACACCTCAACTTGTGTGGGATTGTGACCTGAACAAACTCCCACAAACTGGATGGGAAAAAGGTAGAATCCTTACTTTGGCACCTCAAATAAGCTCCTTGAGGGAAGTTGAGTGAAAGTTAACAAACTCCCACAAACTGGATGGGAAAAAGGTAGAATCCTTACTTTGGCACCTCAAATAAGCTCCTTGAGGGAAGTTGAGTGAAAGTTAACAAACTCCCACAAACTGGATGGGAAAAAGGTAGAATCCTTACTTTGGCACCTCAAATAAGCTCCTTGAGGGAAGTTGAGTGAAAGTTAATTGATGAAAATGGTAAGAGATCTGAGATATAACCCCTCCGATGAGAAGCTTGCCAGGCTGATAAAACTCATGTGGAACAGGGAGGGGGTCATTCATTGGGCATTTCCAAATTTCTATTTCCCAGGTCCTAAAAGGCAGCAGCAGCAATAAATGAACTAGACCCAGTATCTTAGCAATCATCTGGCTATAACTCAAAGTTGTCGTGAGGAGGTTGCATTGATAGACTTTAGCTTTGCTTTGCTACCAACAGAAGAAAGTCTGTCTGGGGCCAATCAGCTGAGTGTCAGATTGCCAATATGTAATCTGTCTACTCTTTGAAATGGGAAAGATCATCAATCCGATGGAGAGTTCCTTGCCAGCTTTTTGCCCTTCATTCTAGTTTTGAATCACATCATTTCTGTTTTGCAATCACTTTCAGTTCAGCTTGTTATTTTCCATTGCCTACTGAAAGTCCAATGCATCTCTGGTCTGGAGGACTAATTATAGTAATTTAAATAACTGAAGCAACAGAGGTTGGACTCAACAGTGTCTCTTGGGATCTGAGTGAGTTTTATGTTTTGTTGGCTTGGTTTAGTTCAGTTTGGTTCTCCCTGGAGACTGGTTCCAGATCTTCACTATGAGCAAACTCCAGCAAGAAAGTCAGACCATAAAAGTGTTGCTCTTGAATTGAGGATCCATTTTGCTTTACATGTAACTCTGTGTGTGTGTGTGCGTGTGCTGATGGATTGATAAATGGGTAACTAAATATAGATATGCCCACAAACATATTTTAGAACTGCTCAAGCTGTTAGCTAAAAGTGCTTTTTCGTACTATAACTTAAATAAACGTAATAGTAATTCCCTCATGCTGTATTCATTAGAAAAGTGTTCAGTGTTGAAGAATGGTGACTGGAGAATTCTGGGAGTCAAAGTCCACCCATCTTAAAGTTGCTCAGGTTGAGAAATGCTGGTATAAACTATTAAGCCTCACACAGTTAAGCAAGATCAAGGAGGGAAAAATTATATAAAGTTCAGAAAGGTATTTTGTAATGCTGCTTTTGAGATAAATACAGAATCTTAGAATTTCCAAGAGGAATTTCCAACCCTTCAAATGAGTTCATGAAGGCACAGTCTCTGAAGAATTTGAAATGCTTCTTCTAAGGTTTCTTCTCATCTGAGCTGAGCTGCTATTTATTAGGTAAGCAGCCAACAGACTTACCTGCTATCTGTTAATCTCAACTTTCCCTTCCATTACTTTTCCAGCCTCCCCAAAACACATTCATAAGATCCTAGAATTTTAGAATCCCAGCATTAGAAGCAGGATGTCTGTAGGAGAGAATGTCATAATGGTGGGTTCAACTGCAGCAAATGAAGCCCTGCCCCCTTTTTAATACACAGGCATGCTGGCTGGGGAATTCTGGGAGTTGAAGTCCACACATCTTAAAGTTGCCAAGTTTG